GCAATATTAAAGCTAAGCCATTTTTTTAGAGGAGGGGGAGGAGGAAGGGAGGGGGGAGAGGGAAAGAGAGTATAACTTGTGATATAGGCTTATAAATACTGGTTATAAAATCAAATACTCATGTTAATGATTTATTATTAGTATAAGATGCCTCAGAGAATAAAATCTGCAGCATCAATAGGAAAAGTGGTTGAAGTCATTCTATTTCGAGATTTAGTAACATACATAAAAAATAAATCTAAGAATACTTCAGCCTTCAGCCAAATTTTATCTGGCAAACCCATTTCTACATGAAATCCATACTAGCTCTAATCTAAACTCTTCACTAGCACAGAAACAAACTTAACAAACTTTTTCTTTATAGCTTTAGCATACATTAATGACTGCTTACCTATTTTACAGGATGGGAAAAACATGGTTTAACTATAAATTTATAATTTATAAAAGATTTATTTGTCCTCAGAATTATTAGCAAGATTGTCTATAAACATCAGAATGTACATTCAAGTAAAACAGAGCAACTTCTGCTTAAAAGTTACTTTCTGGGCTACATCATTAACTCCTACTGTATCCAACACTGGATCACTTCAAGATTAACTTCAAGAAAAAGCTTGTAGTTTTATTTTTGTATGTTTTTCAATTTTTACATTTGATTGTTTTAAAAAATGCAGACAGAATTTTCAAAATACAGTAATATGATTACATTTGCAATATAAGTACAGTTTCAAAATTTGAATGCATACTTGGTTGTGTCAACATTTTACTGGCTCAACTTAATTTCTTCTAAATTTACCATGACTTAAATTCTATTCACTACAAATTCAGCTAAATAATAAAGCACAAGCAAATGAATTTCTCCTCAAAGCATTAAAATAGCTGCATATTTAGAAAGGTTTACAGCTTCAAAGACTGTCCCTGGTTGTCTGAGTGTATATGTCCATATGTAGTTTACTCTTCACTGGCAGTCCTAGCAGAAATGTCCATACATGCATACACACAGACAAACGGAACAATGTTTGAAGCTGCCATATTAGTAAAGTCCATGGTCTCTCATGAGCTATGCTTATTTTAATAAAAATATTTTTACTGGATGTTCTCAAGTTTGGCATTAACTAACATAGAAAAAAAAATCAATGTTTTACGTTTCCTACCAAGTTATTTGACAGAGAAATAAAAAAAAAATATTTAAAGTGAGTCTTGGAATGCAAACTTAAGAAAAATAGTACATAAAGGAAAAAAAATTTCTGAGAAAGAGTACTGAGTATCTAAGAATCTTTTAATCTTATATTTTAATTAATCTAAATAACCTACAATTTTCAGAGCATACAGCCAAAAACAAATGTTCATTTCTTTCACAGTAAGCTCTGAGTTATTTTGTAAGTTCATCAACTGAAAAAGCTGCACATATGACAAAGATATAATCAATGATTGTAATAAAAATAAAATGAACACAAATCCAATTATAATAAATCTATTACTTATTAGGAAAGCTCGCCAATTAATACATCTACAGTATTCTCTCCCATTATCTTAAGAACACAAGGGATTTAAAATGCATTGAAACATGCTATAGATACCAAATAGTAAAATACCAGAGTGAATCCTGAGTATATTTTAATTCAAAAATCTTGCTCAGTCATGAATGCATTAGGCTGCCTAGGTTCAAACTTCGTATCTCAGACTAACTGTTGCAAGGTTTTTATAAATGTTTCATTTTTTTAAAGAAAAGACAAGTAACAAATTTGTTCATATTTAGAATTGAACACATTTATATAAGGAACAGCAGCCATATTTTGGTTAACTTCACAAGAGACCAGAGATACAGGAAGTATTATTGTAACTGTATTACAAATGTAAAGGACTATGAGTGAACAGAAACTTCCTAGTGAGTTAACAGCAAAGTCAAGACTTGAATGTAAATCTCCTAAATGCAACATCTGTTAGACGAGATAATGAGACTTTACATCTAGTTATCTAGAACAAAAATGACAGCGAAAAGGCAAATTTGAACAAAAGAACTGTAAAAACATAGTTTTTCTAGAACTATCTAGAAAAATGTGGGTATCAAGTGCAGGTATTAAAGGAAAATAAACCAATTACAAGTACGTTGATGTAATTTTTCATATATATGTACAAATATATATTCAAGGAGATCCAAGGAACATAAAGCTCATAGACACCACAAAAAAGTTATTTTAACACAAAAAAGGGTGATTACTCACTGACTATATTTCTACAGAGAAGATATTCACTATATAAAAACATACTATTTGTTTTTAAAGTAAAAGAACTAAAATCAAGTTCAGTTTTTGTCACAGTTTCCTCAACTACTTTTATAGTTTTGCTATACAATTTTATAATATTGCTTCTAACTCATAAGTAGTTATGTTAGAGAAACTAAACATCATGCTTATTCGCAGAATTCATGATCTTAAAAAACAGAAAGTGTAGTTATCAAGCCCAAGAACACAGATCAAGCAATGCTGTGAAAAATATAACCGGTCACAAAGATAAGTTCATAAAAGGAAGGTATTTGAGAATACAGAACAAAATACAGTGTCAGTATGAGATACACACATTATAGCCCAGGAGTTCCCTGCAGTTATGTAAATCACAAACATATATACTAATATGGAGATGCCTGGTTCATCCTATGTAAACTGAAGTCTTTGTAAAGTTTTAAGGCTTTGCCATGAATTCTTGAAAAATTCCTGTCTGAAGGTTTTTGATTCTTTCTGGATACCTTTGTATAACTCCTTTGGATTTAAAGAGTTCGATCTGTGTTTTTCAACTTTGGGATTCATAATTTTACTTATATTCTACTTTCAACATTAAATCCCAAAAGAAATTGAAGGTCTAATAGAGGCAAGATATTAAATCGCCAGAGCTTACTGAAAGCAAACAAATCATGAAATAGATGTATGTGAAAGTTTGCAAAGTACTCAAATATACAACTGCTGTCCTTTTAAGCAAAAACTATGTAAATGATCACCTTTTAGAACTACTAGATTTTTCTTGAAAAAGATGGAAATTTCCAGAAATCATAACCCTGTTGAGATAAATCAATGAAAAATGTTTTTAAATGTTCTAAAAAGAAAAAAAAAGTCTAATACCTTGCTCTTATATTCTATTGCTTGACTATCAGCAAGAGACAGATAAGCCTTAACTGAATCTAACAAACGAATTGTCAAATTGTCACTGATGTTCAAATTATGAAAACAAAGAATAATGTCAAGTTTACTGGTAAATTACTTTTCTGTAATAGCCAGAAGAAAAGCTGTATTAAACCAAAGTGATGTTTCCTTCTACAGACAGTACAACATGCAGTTCCTAAAGGCCAGATGGCTCAATCCTAAAAAGATGAATATAACATTCAGGTCACCTCAATTGTTTCTTATCCAGATCTGAAAAGTGGTATCCACAACAACAACAAAAGGTGGTTTGCATTCCACCATGTAGTCTGCTCTTTCAAAGGTTCCATAAAAGCAATGGGGGCTTAAAAAGAAGAAACAGACATGTTTTTTCCTGGATCCTCTTCTATATTTTCAAGATGATGGGGTGGTGGAAAAGGGATAACTATTACTATCACAATACACACACAGAGAGAGAAAGAAACCTACCTATTTTTCTTATCTTCATTTTTAAGTGCTTTGGTTTTATTTTATTGCAAACAGTTGCTGGGGTGCATCCACAGTTTCGTTGTACTTGTACAATGACAATAAAGTTCTTCTAATTCTAAGAACTAAATTTACCCACTGTGGCAAGGGACGTGTCCTTTCAAGCTTTTAACTCTTGCATCTTTACATTCTGCTAGGCACACAAAACTCCCAGATTATCAAGAATATGCAAACTTCTGCCCCAAGTTGACTAGATTTTACTTCCAAGTTGAGCCCAAGTTAGTGGGGGTGCTAACTTTATCTGCTCTCGTGTCTTTCCATGGACCCTACCCGTGTCTTTCCATCCTAACGCTCTGAACAACTTAACAACGCCAAGCAAATCACATTGTCTTCTAATCAGGCTTTACAAAGTGTCCCCCCCCCGCCCAACCTGTCTTCCAAGCACTATGCACGAAGGTTGCTGCAACTCCACATCCCGTTTCGGGGGACTACTACTTCCTAGTTAACCTGGAGGGAAACAGGTGCGGCCACGACTGGCTTTAGAAAGAGACCACCATAAAGGCACCATAAAGGCACCATAAAGGCTATTGGCCCCAAACCCCACTTCCGATGTCCTGAGCCCGAGGTGGCACAGCATTAATCACGCCTCGGCAAACTAACCCACTCGGCGTCCCCGGACGGCTTGGGAGCAGCTCTCTGTTCCCTCAAGGGGGAGGAAGCATCGGCTGAGCCAGGATAAAGCTTCTCGGTCGGATCCTGCAGGAGGACATCGCTGCACCCCAGCGTCCCCTTCCCATTCGGAGCCTATCCCCCCCGCCCCCCCCACACACACACCGGGCGAAGCTTCTGGCGGACTTACCCCCAGATGACATAGTTGGTCTTGACGTTCTTGGGCCAGGAGAACTCGCCAAAGATTACTTCGTCGCCTTTCACCACGATCTCCTTTTTCTGCGTGTTGTACTGGCGCAGCACGCTCAGGACGTCCGCCATCGCCTCAGCCTACTTCGCTCGCTGGCCTCGAGACCCCGGAGACCCGCCTGCTCCAAGTGACTTCCCTCGCGCCGCCTCCTGGTGCTGCACCTTCCCCTCCTCTCCGCTCTCTCGCCCCGACAGCCGCTTCGCCCCCTGACTGTCAGGCAACGCAAACCGACCGTCCGACTAACCGAACGAACGACGGACCAACCACCCCAGCCGCCGCCGCCGCCGCCACCACCACCGCCGATACCACATGCGCAGAAGGAAGAATAGTCGGAAGGACCCTACCGGTCCGCCTACCTCTGCGCCTGCGCTCAGAAGGGGTGGGGGAACGCCAAAACCACTCCTTGACCCCGCCCACGACTGGTTAGAAAACACCAAGAAACGGGAGAGCTGTCTCTTTCATCACTGTGTCCCGCCTCCCCTTCTGCTCCCTTCAACCGCTCACCGTCAGACTCAGTGTGACTGACGTGAGGAAAAGCCTGTCGCAACGCTCGAAGGGGAAGTCGTGTTTCAAAGGAAGGAAAAAACGAACAGGCAATGGAGTAGTTAGCCCTTGGGTTGTTGAGGGCCCTTGGAAGAGAAGAAAACCTGTCTTCCGGAGGCGGAGCCTCGGGCGGAGGCTGTTCTTATTTGGCTGATGGCTTTGCGGGTGCTGCAGAGGCTTTGGGTGCTGAGGTTGGTTAATTGCGGGATGTGCGCGAAACGAAAAGCGGCTTGGCTTGATTCCAGGGGCTTGGCTTGCTGAGATGCTGTAAATTCTCCTTGGTTCTATTTTGCCAGTGAAGGCACTTTGTAAAAGATTTAGCTGTATCTATTTTTGTAACATTCACCTTGGGTTACCCGAAGAAGGTTTGTTTTTAGTCAGCTGGCATTTTATGGGTGTTTATTCGTGAATAAATAAAACCTGGGCTGTATGCAGGTGAGTATATTCGGCCAGGATTTAGTTTTGAACCTCTGGGGCATTTCCTGTCATGGACAGAAAACAAAAAGTCTTAGGCATCCAGTGCAGTTGCTCAACCACTGATATGCAGCTGTTTGGCCAGGCAACCCCCGTTCCCAAGAACTGCTTAACAATGATGGTTTGGGGGATGATCCTATTTTGAAATCCTTCCTACAAAGGTGGTTTTGAGGGGGAAAATTTACGTTAACTTACAGAATATCCTGGCTGAGGAGATGTAGTCAGATGCTTAGTTTCCTGGGCTTCACACTTTTATGTTTGAATTCTAAGATGCTCTGGAAGTGTGGCTTTCAGACTGGCTTTGGTGATTTTATAATCTATAGTGCTTTATTTTACTTGAATTTATGGTTTAACCATTGTTACTAGGTTGTTGTTGTTTTTTTGGAGTCTGGTATGTCTCTTCTTTTTATCATAAAGTGCTTATTTGATATTCGACTTTTAGAGTTAGAACTGCCTACATGTTAAAGGGGCTATGTCACTATTATGTACTGTACTGTAATCCAGTTTAACTGGTATTTCTTTAATTCTGTAGAATCCTTTGTTTTCAAGCTAGTCCTTGAATTCTTTGTTTTCCAGCTACAATATTATATAGCTAGTCCTCAACTTAAAATCATTCACTTAGTGACTGTTTGAAGTGCCAATGGCATCAAAAGTGACTTATGATTCTTTCTCACACTTATAACCATTGCATGGTCATGTGATCAAAATTTGGATGCTTGGCAACAGGAATGTATTTATGATGATTGCAGTGTCCCAAGATTATGTGATCACTTTCTGTGACCTCCTGACAAACAAAGCCAGATTTACTTAACAACTGTGTTACTAATTTAACAACTGAAGTGATTCACTTAACAACTGTGGCGAGGAAAGTTGTAAAATGGGGCAAAACCCACTTAACAACGGTCTTGCTTAGCAACAGAAATTTAGGTCTCATTTATGATCATAAGTCAAGGACTACCTATATGAAGAATGATAATTTTAGAAGCAATGAAGTTTACTTTTTCCTTTAGTTTATTGATTAAATTCTGTTTTAATTTTCATGGAGGTGGAAAACAGAACAAAAGATTGGCCGTATATGTAGACATCTGCATATACACTAAATCTGGAAATGTAATGCACAGTTCAGATATTTTTGTATTTGGTGCTAATATTGTGAAGCTGAACAGTTCTGGAAAATAGTTTACATCAGTCTAAAACAAATTTTAAAAGCTCAATTTCTTTATAACTTGCAATATTCTTAATGAATTTTACTAAACCATAACTTCCCACTTAGTATACTGAATTTTATTTGTACTTGTTAACTGCTACAAAGATATTTCTTACTAGACAGGATATTTGATTACCTTTGTGGAAGAAAGACTATGTTATATTTTAAAAGTAAATGCAATAGAGCAGAGGTGTCAAACTCACATCATGGCGGCGTCACAATGTATCAGGACTTGTTTCCCCTTTGTTAAACCGGGTTTGGACATGGCCAGCGCGTGACACCGGGAATTTGACAGCCTTGCAATAAAGGATAATTCAACTGGGAAACAGTTTCTGGATTACAGAGTTTATGTGAATTTGTATCACATCCAAAAATTGTTTTTCTTTTTACATGGCCATTATTTAAGCCTTGTAGGAATTTTAAAATCAGAATAGAATGTTAATTTTATAGATGAAATATATTGTAATTTATTATAATTTATGATCTCTATTTTAACCATTTCTGGTATTTATGCTCCTTTGTAGAGCTTTATGGTGATATGTAGATTTTTAAGATTATATTATATAGTCAGCCATTTATATATAATCAACCATTTATACCTATTGTAATTCCAGTAATGAAATTAAAAACATTTTCAGTGATACTTGTAAATCTATATCCATATGCCTCACACTATCACTTTTTATCTCTCTTCTTTTTTAAAAAACATTTTTTCTTTAAAATATTTAGTAAATGTATATTTTTAATAGGCTACAATATAGTAATTCTTAATTTGGTATTACTCCTGTTAATCTAAAACTTTAATCAAAATTAGCTGTTGTATGTATCTAAAAAGATTAGGCCACTTGGTTATTTTTATGAAATTTACAATGTAACTAGTTGTAAGGCTGCTCTTTAAATACAGGATTGTATTATAAGCAGTCTGTAATATTCATTGCAATGTCTTTTCTCTCTCTTTAGAATGGGGAACAATGCATCTGCTACTACAGCGATATCTAATACTGCTATAACAAACCAAATAAAAGTGAGTAAATGTGGTTGGTCTATATCAGGGGTGTCAAACTCATGTCAGTGTGGTGTCACGTGACATATCGGGACTTTTTCCCCCTTTCCTAAACTGGGAATGGCCAACATGAGATACATCCGGCCCATGGGCCAGGAATTTAACAGCCCTGGTCTAAATGCTGCTTCTTGTAGGACAGGGACTTTATTTTTTCTATAGTATAAAATGTAATTCTGAGTCATGTTTTGGAAGTCAAACACCTATTGTTATAGCTAAGAAGTTCCCCCAAAATTGTTCCAGCTATTGGTTTTTCAGTTTTTCACTCTTTCCTGTTTCAAAATGACAGGAAATTGTACTGTCAGTTTTTTTTCCATTATAATTAACTCCCCCCACCCCAGGGCAGCATAAAAGATTTGAGAGACACATATGGTCCTAAAACAGCCATCCATTCTACACCAATATCTTTTAACAGTACTGGAAGTGTGTCCTAGTAAAGTAATTCAGTCTAAATTGTTTGTTTTAATTTTTTATCAATAAGCCTTTTGACTCAAACTTCTGGCAAGTAGCAGAAATGCAATAGATTCTAACACTTTTAATTGGGAGACTTAGCAGTCCTGTTCAAATTAAATAATGAACCTGTTAATGAAAAGTGGAAAGCCTTGTTAGCAATACAATAGTACTTTGTCCATGCCCTCCCTTTTAAATGAAAACATGCTAGCTGATTCATTTGTTAGTTTTGGCTCAACTGGAACATTTTAATTATTTGAGGGCGTTTTGTGTATGTAATATTGAAGGCTATAGATATGCATTTTAACACGCAAGTATGTAGAATGTATTTCCTTGAGAAGTTGCTTTTTCTCCATTATACAAACATATTTAGAGCCAGACATGTTTGTTGAATAAGGTACAATTATCTGGATTCACATAAAATCCCAAACACTGATGTTAATTTCGATTTCGATTGATTTTGAATCTAGCCATAAATTCTTCCAGTTTCCCTTATGCATACTTCTCATGTCAATTTTTATTTCAACCCATAGGATACTATATCAGATAATTGTGTTGTGATCTTCTCAAAAAGCACGTGTTCCTACTGTAAAATGGCAAAGAAACTATTTCAAGAAATGAATGTGAATTATAAAGCCATAGAACTTGATCGATATGAAAACGGAAATCATTTTCAGGATATCCTTCATCAAATGACAGGCAGCCGGACAGTGAGTACTATTTTTTTTAATCTTTCTTACACATGTCAGAAAATGATTATTCCATTTCTGGATAATATTTTTAATATTATTAGTACATACTTTATTACATAAATTGGGCAAATACTAGATGATTTCAGATTTCAGAACAACTACCACCCTTAGTTTGGATGAGAGGACAAAGCCTGCATAGAGCATCCTGTGGGTTTCTAAGTTTTCTAATTCTGGACTACTCCATTTGTAAGAGAAATCAGCAAGTACAACTGCAGTAGTTCAGAGTTAGCCCACAATTTTAGTGAATTTTACCTTACCATGTCATTCAAAATGGAGTGATGCGGTGGCCTAGAGACGGAGCTCTTGTCTCACAATCAGGAGGCTGAGTTTGATCTTAGGTAGAGGCAGATATTTATCTCTCTGGGCACAATGAGAATATATCTGCTGAACAAAACTCTGCTTTGGCAACAGGAAGGGCATCTGGCTATTAAACACTCTGCTAGCTCCATTCAGTTGCCCAGACTCCACCCTGGCAAGGGATTATGGGATCATTAAAAGATGATTATGTCATTCAAAGTGATTCATAATATAATAGTTACTACTCAAATATAGATTTCTTTTAAAAAATTAATATGCAATCCATACATTTATGCAACCTATTTCTTGCAATAGCTGTTGCCTTGAACAAATTGGTGGAATGTGACAATAAGAGAATATGGCTTTATGTTCTACTTCTAGCATTGAAGATACTGTATATGACTGGGCACTTTGTGAAATATATTTACTGAAGAGAGATTTTGTCTGATAGAGTAAAATTTGTTTTGGCCCTGTTTTTACCATATATTATTTATATATATATATATATATATAGTGTTTGGCTTGGTTCGGGTATTTTCCCACGTCATTGTAGTTCTTTTAAAGTTCTTTGTAATTCTTTAAAGTTCTTTAAAGTTCATTGTAGTTCTTTAAAGTTCATTGTAGTTCTTTAAAAGAACTACAATGACGTGGGAAAATACCCGAACCAAGCCGAACACCATACATGTAAGTACCCGCGAAAACTTAAGAAAATTATATATATATATATATATATATATATGTGGATCTTTGGTTATTCGGGTTCTCTCCCGCGTAAGATTCAAAGTATCTAGGCAACGTTTCGGCGAGGTCCCACTCGCCATCTTCAGGCTGGTGCTTTCGGCTTAGTGCCAGTGCAAGCAGTGTGTGACCGGAGCTGCCATCTCTCTATATATACAAGTGGTGGGGGGTGGTGTGCTGGGCTGGTTGGCTGTGCTGCAGCCTCTTGATTGGTTGATGGAGTTGATGTTGGTATAATGGGCTGTGTAATGGCCTTTTGTTGTAGAGATATCCTGGATCTTGTGCTGTCATCTCCTGGGTCGTTAGCCTCTTGTGTTTTAACGGTTTGGGTAATGGGTTGTGTGATGGGCTTGTGAGTTCTTTTGTTGTGGTATCCTGGGTCTTGCGTTGTAATCTCCTGGGTCGTTTGTGTTTTGATCTCTTTTCGATTAGCCTCCTGTGTAGTAACAGCTTGGGTAATGGGTTGTGTGAT